CCAAAGTGCTGATTCTCTGTCTGTGACTTTAGATGAAAATAAGGAGTCCCTCCCCACGCCCCTCTGAGAGACATTTGTTTAGAAAGAACACAATGGTGCTCCTAGGAGGAGATTCAAGTGATAAGGTTACCTTGGTTTGTGATTGGCTAATGGTTACACAAGCCAAAAAATCGTTATGACATCACAAAGTGGCCAAAATCTGATCAGCTCATTTTCAGACAGGTTTTTATAGAAATGGATCAAAAAGAGAGAGAATCTTTGTTCCTGAAACTTTCAGAGTCTCTTTCCACAGAGGGGACACATGTTGATGTAGAAGAGACATGAAGAAGAGGGGACACATGTTGATGTAGAAGAGACATGAAGAAGAGGGGACACATGTTGATGTAGAAGAGACATGAAGAAGAGGGGACACATGTTGATGTAGAAGACACATGGAGAAGAGGGGACACATGTTGATGTAGAAGAGACATGAAGAAGAGGGGACACATGTTGATGTAGAAGAGACATGGACAAGTGGATTTTTGCGTAGGTGACCTTTAACCTGTGATCTCGTTCTCCTCCCACAGATCTCTGAGACCAAAGACGACCTGATCCTGTTCTCCAGCTCCTCCCAGAAGGCCGAGCGGGAAACGCCCGTCCAGACGGTGAGGGGGGGGGGACAATATACATCCATCACTGACAGCATGGACATTAATATATGTTACTGTAGTTACCTGTGTTGATAGATCTCAGCACTTAATGGAAACAGAATAATAAGACCTTTCTAATCAGAAGCAAGGGCTTAGGGAAATGGGTTGTATCAAATATAAAAAAAATGTTGATAAATTCACTTCAGTAATGGGGGTACGATAAGTTAGGAAATGACTTCACTTTACAGTCATGACACTACGAAAAGACAACACTTATTAAATGCATAATCTAAAACAATATTGATATCAGAATCGGAAAACCTTTATTTGCCGTTACAAAAAAGGGGCAGTGTAAATAAAAAGGCAAAATAAAATGAGTACTCTGGTCAGGTTAAAAAAAGTAGGTACATTTTAGAAGGGAACATATTTAAGTCTTATTAACATTGTCTGCATGCTTGGACACATCAAAGGAGACTTTTCCTGATATTAGAAACACACACAGCATTTATTTGTAACGAACTGCTCTCGTCGTTATCGCTCCACAAGCTGCTGACTCATATTGAAATGAGCCTGTGATTGTTTTGTCGTCATCATGTGTGTGTTGTGTGTTTTTAGCGTTACCTCACACATAATGGGTCTGTCCCGTATTAGCGAGCTGTACTGTAATGTGTCATTACTGCAGGGTTAGTAACAGCTGTTTTTAGAACACGTTTTTTTTAGATTCAGTCGGTTGTTTAGTTAAACAACCGATTAAGAATAGGCCCGGCAGATAACTTTTTCAGGACTTTAAGACATGTCAGGCCTGAAGGGGGAAAAACATCATATTTAATAAATACAAATGTATTTCAATAACAATAGAGAGACAATATAGTTATATTGTTATATTTATTTGAAGCCGGCTTTAACCTTTTAACTTCCTAGATTTCTAAATATTTTACTTACTTTAAAAAAAAAAATGATAGGGTCCAGAATGACCTGAATGAATGTAAAACAAAGTTTCAATATTTAAATCTGTCCTTCAAGTTTGTTTAGTAACAAACAACATCACTATAAAACTTGCGCTTCTATTGGCTAGCGCTCCAAGACATTGTACGTGATAGGCTAAGGGGCGGGACATCTCTAAGCGGTTGACCAATTGCTTAGAGATGCGACAACAGAGCCGGCCAGCTAACCAATCAGAGCAGACTGGGCTCTGGTTTCAGACAGAGGGTGTATGAGTCAGTTAAAATGTCACAGGTGCACTCTGGGAGTTGTAGTTTTAAAAATGTCTCAAACTCACCTGATATCTCCTCCTCTCTTCAGACAGCCCCGTCCCCCTGCAGCCCGGTTGCCGTGCAGAGCAGCGAGCGACGATCAGGCCCCGCCCCCCGCTCCAAATCCCAGCTCCCGGTCCCCAGCAGCAGCAGGGGGGGGGCGGGGCTTCAGACCCGAACCCCCCCGACCCGCAGCAGGACAAAACAGACGCCCCCCACCCCAAACAGCAGCAGCAACAACAACTACTACTACAACAACAACATGAACGAAAACAGCCAATCAGAAGAGGACATTTGGATCCTGCATGAAAACAACAACAACAAGTGAACAGCTCCCATCCTCTAACCCCCCAGCTGTGAAACCCCCCCCTCCCTCCATGATGTAAGACTACGACGACTCTTAGTATTTGTACTTGTAATCCGTACTTGTTACACTGTACTGCAGTTGTGTACTTGGGGACCACAGTTTTATCCTATCACAGTATTTGAAGTATTTGTTTTGGTCTGGTAAAGGAATAAAAAAATAAAGGTTACTTTTACTGTTACCTCATTCCAGGGTCTAAACAACCTGCTAATGATGGGACAGTAGAATAAGTTGTAAAGTATTTAACTGGTGGAAACTGCAGTATTTCTGTGTACTTAAAAGAGAAATACTGAACGTGTTTTTGGATCAAAGAAAGCAGGTTTTAAGTTTCTTTTTATGGCTATTAAGTATTTTGAGAAGTGTTTTATCTTTAAATAGGTTGGTTTAAATACTGTTGAGATAATCAGGGTTTTACCAAATATATTTGTACATAAGAATTAGTAAATGCTCTATAGATTGGTGTACGTGGTATGACGCTTGTACAGTGACGATTAAAAACCTTAAAGCTGAAAAAAAGTGAGAAGTTGTACATAGTGTTTGTAAAACCAGTTTCTGAACCCTTCACTTGTTTCAGAGTGGAGCGGCCGTGGCAATAAGTAATAGATCTGTAAAAACACAGGATGTCCTTTCAACTGTAAGCCATAATAAATATTTTAAATGCCCGTCATTTCCCCGAGTCATGTTTAAGTCATCATTTATTTTACTGGTTTCAAATGTGTTTTCTCCGTATGTTTTTACTTTTTACAGGACATTGTTTGTATATAAATATACATATGTACAGGAGAGGTTTTAGTCTGTAGCTGTTTGGAGTTTAGACAATTGTCTTTCAAGCACACACATTAAAATGGCACTGTTAAAAATCCACATCGGACTTTTTCTGTTCCTATTGATTATATATTAAAGTGGACCTATCATGCTATATTTGAATAATATAGTGTAGGACCATACCTATATAAGGCATATTTATACTTTTTATTTTTCAAAATACCAAACAGATCATGCATTTTAGCCATTCCTCATTTCACTCAATTGAACACTGTCTTTGTATGGGCTGAGCCCATACAAAGACAGTGTTCAATTGAGTGAAATGAGGAATGGCTAAAATGCATGATCTGTTTGGTATTTTGAAAAATAAAAAGTATAAATATGCCTTNTGGGCCAACTCCACCAATCAGGAGGAGACAGCCACGGACATTGCCGTTGGAAAGCGCTGGAGACGCTGTAGTACATATGCCAGGCCTGTAGATGGTGCTGTTCTCACAGAATCAGCCCATACAAAGACAGTGTTCAATTGAGCGAAATGAGGAATGGCTAAAATGCATGATCTGTTTGGTATTTTGAAAAATAAAAAGTATAAATATGTCTTATATAGGTATGGTCCTACACCATATTATTCAAGCGAACAAATAAATAGCTCATCGTCAGCACCCACAAAAAGGTAAACGTCACCACAACATCCTTAAACATTCATCTGATTGCATTTTGCAAA